TGCGTTGCAAACAGCTCGACGTCGTTAAGCTTCCTGAGCCAGCCATATTAACCCATTACCAGTGCGTTAGTGAAACAATCTACGAAGTAGACGGTACGCTAATAGACAGTCTTCACCGACGCATGGAACGCTGGGCAGAGCACCTCACATGGCAGTTCAACCAGCCTCCGCGCTGGGTGCCAGAAGAAGTTCCCTTGAGAGTGCACCCTGGTCACTACCACGGGACCGCCCACAGAAGCGGAGATCCAAAAGGAACTCAAAGCCTTAAAACGCCACAAAACAGCTAGACTAGACGGCCCGCCACCTGTCCTTTTTAAAGATGGTGGAGAAGCTCTCGTAAGAGAACTTGTGAGACTGTTATCGAAGATCTGGGAAACTGAAAATGCACCCCACACATGGGGAGAATCGATTGTCACACACATCTACAAGAAGGGCTGTCGCAACGCCTATTTCAACCACAGGGGCATAAGTCTGATTCCAATAGCGCCGAAGCTGCTAGCGTCCGTTTTATTACGCAGGTTATGCCCATTCCGTGAGAAGCAAATCCTCGAGGAGCAAGCCGAGTTTCGTGACCGCCCTGGCTGCATAGATCAAATCTTCATCCTTCGTCAGCTACTAGAACACCGCCACGCATACAGACGGCAAATCATTGTCGTGTTGTATATATGAGAGCAGCTTTCGACTCTATCGATCGTCTCGCACGGCGGAACTGATTGTGGAGATACGGAGTACCCGAGATGCATGTCGCACTCCTAAACGCGCTCTATCACCAGACCTCGGGGAAGGTTAGGGCCTATGGTGAGCTTTCACTCTCATTTCGTCACCAGTGGGATACGACAGGGTTTCCCTATTTCTCCGTCTCTCTCTGCCATAGACGATATCCTACAAAACGCATTACATAACGTAACGAACCCTGGCGTCGAGCTTCTTCCTGGGGACAGAGTCGTAGACTTAGAGTATGCCGATGCTATTGCTTTACTGGGTGACAACGCACGAACGATTCAAGAGTCGTTGAATCGTTTGACAATTGAGGTTACTCGCTATGGTATGTTCTTTGCACCTTCAAAGTGCAAGGTGTTGTTGCAAGATTGATAGGAACCCATTCCTGCAATTTTGTTTGGTAATGACACTCTGGAAGTAGTCGAAAGCTTTGTCCATCTTGGGAGTTGCATAACGGTTGGCGGAGGTTTGGGTAAGGAGATCGCTCAAAGCGTGATCAAAGCTAGATTATCGTTTGCTAACCTGCGGCATCTCTGGCACCGGCGCGACATATCTGTTTGACTGAAAGGGCGTGTGCATTACGCAACGGTACACGCCATGTTGCTCTACGGCTGCTAGACCTGGCCTCTTCGAGCAGATCACGTCCAACGATTATTTGTATTTGACAAACGTTGTCTGCACAACATCGCCCGCCTATTGTGGGGGCATCGGGGAATAACGATAAAGTCAGACGATTGGTGCTAGTACCAGATAGTCTTCCTTTGAGTAAAGTAATTTCACAACCTCGTCTTAGGTGGCTAGGGCACGTCCCACGAATGCCTGAACAACGTCTGCCACACAGTGCACTATTCGCAGACATCAGTACAGGCTGGAAGAAATAGTGAGGTGGGCAGGCTTTGATGTGGCGCATAGGGTTAAAGAGATTGTGCTTGGATCTGGCTTCTGTTGGGGTTTCTCGGCTCCCCGGCTGGGGCCCCAAAGATTCAGATTGTCTTCGCCTGGAGACACTGCGGGACATGGCACTGAATCAAAGTCAATGGCGCGAATGCATTCTGTCCTGTTTGCAATTCCAAAAATAAACAAAAAAGAAAAAAGCCTGCAAATGGCATGCAGTAAACAAGGTTGACTTTTTTATTTTCTCCGCTTTTGTACCTATATTTTTTCTTCCACCCCTGGTTATTTGGCGCCATATACGTAAAGATTGGTGTTAAATATTTATAATATATATAACAGCTGCCTCGGCGAACCTCAGTAGACGACTGCGCTTCGGTCGGAGCAAAACAGGGACGGCCTTCCTATGTGTGTCACATTCTGCTGTGATCACGGTTTTCATTGCTTTCATGAAGGTATCAAAGGGAAATGAATACATGGAGAATGTTTGCCTGTTGCCAAATTACAAAGATATTTTGAGGGAAGTAAACTAATAGAAAGAGGGCATGACTAGAAAGAAACATCATCATGGAAACGGTTACTTCATGCAAAAATGGTAATTGCTGATTGAGAGCCCGCAAAACGGATGACGAATACCAATTCTGCGCTTGTTATTTTGCTAAATTTGTTAAGGGATTCTATACATTTGGAAATAGTGGCTTAAAAGTGAAAACAAAGTCAAAATTGATCGTTGAAGCAACTGTTTTACATTACGCGTGGACTAATAACTCAAATGTTCTATAGACCTACTGAGTTGCTTTCTCACCGAGTGAAATAATCGGAACAGAAGGGATCACGCAAGATAATAGAGAAATCCATAGGCAAGCACTTGTATCCGAATACGACGTTTTGACGGTGGACAAGATAAAGTAACGAATTTTTGACATGACTGTTGCTTGTGACGTAAATCAAAAGGAAAAATAACGTACACAATTTTGGACGCCCAGAACAATTGCAGTCTCTCTCTCTGTTTGCTCATGACGTATCTTCTAATTCATCTCTTCTGGAGTCCAACAAATAAAGGTTGGCTCAGGCCAGTAGTATGGCTGTTGTGAATATCATTTCACGTTGAAACCGATGGCTAGACGCAGACATCTCTTTCTGGCTGAAGCCGGTCTACATTACCTGCATAAAGTGTAAGTTTCATACAAATTCCGCGCTAGTAATACAAAACGTTATTATCGGCATGCGTGAGAACATTTTTGCGTTGTGTTTAGCTCCTCAGATCACTTTAGTATTTCCAACTCAAAAGGTGAATTGATTGTTACTGTAGTCCTGATCTGTACCTTTTTCAAATTAATGTTTGAATATTAATTTAAGATATCACAATATCGATTTACGATACCCCAATATCAATTTAGGATGTCACGTTGCTATGTAAATAGTACGATTTCTCGTCTTCGGACAATCCGTCTGCAATCAAATTCCGAATCGAAGAAATTTATCATCACCAGAACAGTGTGTGGCGGTGCATCGTCACATTAGAACCAAACTGTATTGCCAACTTCAGTTTCTATACGCCAAATGGCAGTTACCACAGTATCTTGTAACATTTGCAGTTATCAGGCCCCTAAACAATGTAATAAGCAGTATCATTATTACCCGTATTCGTTTCCATTGAAAAAGTACGGTTCGATAATCTTGCCGTGCATAATTTTGGCCTATTTTAACACCTTGGGACTCTAAAGCGATTTTGAACGACCACAGTGTCTTGGGTTTCCACCGTCCAAACGAATGTAGTTTGTAACATTTCCGTTCACATGAAAAATGGCTTCATCCGTGACAACCATTTGCCATGCATCCAGGTGTGTCAGGTACCATACGTGAAATTCTAGTTGGATCATCGATAAGAATATCTAAAGCTAACCGTTTCTTTCCAAAAATCGAGAACAATTGGGAAACTAAAACAATGCTAAAGTATTCCAGCTGTTACTATTCTGAAGGTGGAAAAATATTTT